AGTTAAAATAATCTTCAGAGCTAATTGTTTTTATTTTCTTGGGTAGATTTTGGTGAATATTTAAAATGGATAATCTAATATTGTAAATTGTATTATTATTATTAATATTAATGATGAGAAAACAAAATAATATGTCTAATCAAAATAGACATATCTTCATAAATATCTTTCTACATTTGAGTAAGTTTTTTTCTAATGTCTGTTTAACTTTTTGTATTTTATGCTAGAATAAAAGTAGTACAGAAGAGCCTCATGTCATTAAGGAAAATGTCAAGGGCTTTTTAAAACCATGACAATTTAGGGTTTTTTTCATCTCAGCTAAATCATTAGAATGTACTGCTTATATGTCTAATCTAAATCATTAAATAACTCACTTTGAAACCTTGTTCATATTATTTCAAAGGTTTTACTGTCTTCAGTACAGACTCATGGAGATTTAAGGCCCATGTTTCTCAAAAAACCTTGTTATGCTACATATAATGTGTTAAAGCTAACCAAACTGTTCCATCTAATAACCTAGATTAAAACCTAGCCTATTGTATTGTGCTATTTCTCATAGCACTATTTTTCTCTTTTTTTAAAATTTTTATTCTCTCTTGGATTAAAATGGATTTTTATCCACAACTCATGTCAGTATTATTAAGAATACTTCAAACGGGAAGAATTTTTTCAAATTGTGTTTTTTGGAAAGGTTTTGGTTGTATCTTGAATCACTGTCTTTCACTGGAAGGATTTTTTTTAGGGTAATTGATTTTATAGTACAAAAGAAAAAAACGAGTTTTTTATAGAATAATCTTTGTACAGAAGAGAAGGCAGACATCGACAGACTGTACAGAAGCAGATTGATTTGTACAAGATTTATACACTTCTATACATCAAGGAAGCTTTGTCAAAATTGGTATTGACTTTAGTAATTTAAATATTCTTGGCTATATCCTGTAATATTATATTCATGAACAGAGGTATAGACTAGAAGTTCTTAAGATAGTCAGATAGTGTACATTCTATACAGCACTAAACATAGATGTAGTTGCCAATTCAGCCTCCACAAGAGTTTTGGAGGAAGTTAAACATATTTCACAGCAATTCACTTTATTGCATTCTGCAAAATTTGTCATTAGAGGATTCAAACAGTGACCTAGAAAAAATATCTTTTCCTCATAGGTTCCCTGAAGATGCTACAGAAACTTTAATTTTTTTCTTTTTTTTTTTTTCGTCATTTAATATCACAAATACCAGCAAGATGGCAAGGAACAGCCGGTATACTTCAGTCAAAGAAGGGGGATATGTCAGAGCCTGTCACAATGCATTAACAAATCAGAATGGTTATGTTGATGACTCTTCCATGATCAATGCTATCCTACTCCAAGATACAAGCACAGAGTTCTAGGACAATACAACCTGGAAAATCGTACTCAGATACAATGCCATTCCGAGGTTTTTCATGATACAGGGCTCTTCAAAGTGGTACAAAGCAAAGTCTATTTGAGATCATATGTAATATTCATTAAGATTCCTTCCACCAGGAGAAACATTTTGATAAAGGCTTCTCACAAAAGTGCTGTGATCTTGTGAGAAGGCAAAGACATGCTATTCTGGGGCAATTAACATGAAACCTTATGGATAACTACCTGAGCCTCTGAGCTTAGTTTTGACATTTCTTGTCTAACTACAGCATCTTCCTGAGAGATTACCCTGCCATGTCAGAGAGCTTCACATGAGAGGACTATCAGAAAGGAGAGTCCTTTTTAGGTGAACGGGGAATGGAGGAAGCTAAAAGCTATGTGAGCTGAGTGAAAAAGTCAAGACCTGAAAGAGAGAATCACAGAGGATCAGTATACACTGCAAAGCAGTTTTAGGATGCCAGTGAATAGCAAAACACAAGAAATCTAGAGTTAAAAGAGGTGGAGAAGAGTACAGTCAAGGAAGGAGAAACATATTAAAGTTCAGGGAGCCATGGAGAACTGATCTGTTCAAATTACAGGCAACACCAGTATCCTCCCTAGATGGCAGCATCAGAGTGTCAGGTAAGCTGAGAGCACTGTTCCCAAGTCCTTGTGAAAGCTCCAGAAGAAGATAAGATAAAGAATTTAGAAGTTATTTCACTTCACAGTTTACCAAACAAGGTTTCCAAGCTTGAAACCTAGGTAGAAGGTAGGTATCAATGCCTTTCTCTTCACAAATTTCCTTTTCCTGTTTCTCTTGTTTATTGTTACAGGATCTTTTGTTTCATTTCATTATTCTCTTCTGTTGGTAACCTGAAACTTCAAACTCTTCATTGAACTTTGACGATAAGATCTTTCAAAAGAGCCAAAGAACCATGAAATAGGAGAGCAATGATCTGTTCTTTTTCTTTCTGACTGGATGAATACAAAGCATTTTGCGTTTTGACCAGGAGATAGCTGAAAATTTCAACTCACATACACACTTTAATGCCATTTATTGAATACTACTAGAATATAGTATACAAACTGGGATTGTCTTACGTAATTACCCCTTTTCCAAAAAATTTACTGTGGAGGTGAAGGAAGAGCAAATGGTAATGGCAAGGAGAGAAAGTTTGAGTTTTAGTACATAATAACAATATGCTCTTTTTCTAAGATGTCAAGAATTCAGCAGAACATAGTATCTATAGGGCATAGGATAGTATCCAGGAAAAACTTTCTATTTGAAGGTATCAAAAAAATCTAAAAATTCTGGAGATATCTGGCACATATGCTACCACTCTTTTCACCTCATCAGAAAACAAGAGTGGTCCAAGGTTAGGTAAGAAAGCAGTGGCAAAACAGAGTAAAAGTGAAAACATGTCGTTCTAGAAAAAGAGTATGATCCTTCACCTGTGGCATGATTATGTATATAGTGTCTGACTATCACTGAGTTGGAAAGCCCAGGGTGTAAATAGATTGGTTTCATAAATTTCCTGTGGGTTAACCATTCCGTTACTTCCTAACATTTTACCATTTTTTTTGGAGCTGGTTTCTTCCGTCAGAGGCTGGGCCAGTCTTTCATATTATAAAAAGTGCATTTCTCAATTAATAAATGCTTCTACTTATTCCCTTTTCTGCGAACTTAATATACTATCTTCAATTATATTTTTGATAAGAAGGATCTATGGTTCAATCTGCCCCTTCTCCTGATCAGGGATATTTAGTGATGTACCAGTCATAAAGGTATGTAAGCACTAAGAAGTCACATGCAGATGTCTCTTTAGCTATTTCAGAGATTTATATTTCGCTACCTAGTCCTCTTTTTCCCTTCTGACCTTGTGCCAAATATTCCCATAAATTACTTTTTTTTTTTTTCCTCAGGGCTGAAACAAAACTTCAGGGTTTAGGGTTTCTAAAGGCAGTCTGACATATTTTCTCATATACGGAAAACACAGAATAGCACAATATAACAGTTTTTCACAGTAGCATTTTACAAGTATTTCTGCCTTCTTAATTTCCTTTAAAACTCTTGCATGAGCAGTATTGTATCTCAGTGACCAGTCTTGAGCTTTAAAGGAAATTCAGTTTTATGGTTCTGAGCAGATCATCTGCCCCCCCCCAATTTGTTTGCCAAACTGGTATCTAATTTACATTCCCAATTACCTCAATTGCACACATAAACGAGCTAATGAAACACACAAATGTATAACTGGTCATAAATAGTAATTTCTAAGTGCAATTGCAGTAATTGCATGCTCCTCATGATTTTCAAAATCAAGACCCTAATGTTAATTTAATGCTAGTTCATCTTGTATAACAGTTATATTTAAAGCAGAAGTTTATCACTCAGCAAATGTGGCAGTCTTGTTCTATTATGTCTTTTTTCCATTACGGTTAATTGGTGGATAACAGTGTTTAACATTGCAGGACTTCTTTCTGCTGATAAGCAGGGATCAGGCATTTTCCTAAAATAAACAGGACTGCAAATCTATTTATAAACTACATTGTGTCACAATAACTGCAATTTTACACTCTTTAAACAACATATTTAAAAAGAAATATTCATTTGAGGTAACGAGATTTTGGGGAAAGAGATAATAAGCCACATAACTATTTTTGTCCAAATGTTCTGGTCACAATCACATCACAGAAATATTTAATTAACATATCTGTTTTAGTCACAGGTCCTGCCAAAATCTAAGTCTCATTTTCTGTTTCCAAATGCAGTTAAATCTTGTAGCTCTTGTTACTTATTCTGCTGCCATCCCATCTGTTTTTCTCTTAGACTACAATTGATTTCTGGATAATGTAGAACTAAGACCTCTATGAGATTAACAAGTGCTGCGGTGTGACTGAATTACTCTGAAGTATCATATGAAAACTTCTATATAATTACGTGATAAGAATCGTGTTATTAAATTTGTATTACTAAAGTGTATGGTATAAAGACCAAGAATGTATATTGCAGTAGTAGTTCTAAGTCACTGGATGTAGTCCATTTTAAAATTAAAATGCGTATTTCAACCACTTTACTGTTATGGTTAGACTATAAACAATATAATTCAATGGCAGGGATTATGTTTTAATCTTTTGAAGGTAAGATCTGACTTTGTATTTGTCTTTTACTGGTTTTAACAATAGAAATAGGGTTGATAAATGCAGAGCCAGAAATATTATGTTCATTATTGCAGATAATGCACAGAAACGCTACTGAATAACAATAGTTGAAAGAGTAATCCAAAGTATATTAAGAGGATAATGTTGATTATGTTTATAGTTAGATAACAATTCATGGCTGAACACCATTCAAAGCATTTTACATATTAGGCCTCAATTCTGTAATCTGTTTCACTCAGGAAATCCCCGAAGCCATCTGTGGATGGCTACTACCATAAGGAACACTTAGGTGTTGTGCATATTTCAGTGTGTCATTCCTGTCCCAACCCTAATTATTAGATCAGCTTTGTAATATAGGTTATACTTACAAAAAACAAAAATAATAATAAAAAAAATCCATTAGGACAGATAGTCAAGTTAATGAGAAGAAGAAAAAGTAGAAAAACTCAAACTTACCGTCAACAGCTGCTGGTTTCTTTCTTGGACTGTGTTCTAGAAGAAGACGAGGTGGTACAAATTCCTTATGTCCTGCACACAAGTATATGGGTTAAGAAGCGTAGAAAATGTATTCACTAACAGGCTAAGCAGTTTCACTGGGAGACTGAACTCCCTTCAAAATTGTTCATGTTTAAAATATTACACTGTGCATAAAAGCTATTATCTTTCTGACACCTTAGGAAGGAAATGTATTTCTCAACAAACAGAGTAATTTATTTTTAAGAGACACATTTGGAATCAATGAAGTCTAGGTGACTCAAGCATATGCTGAAATACTTACAGTTTTATTTTTCTTCATTAGACTCAAAACTGAACTATAATACTTTGATAATAAGGTTACATATTCATGATGCCTCTTCTACAGTAAAGGCTTATTTTCTTCTGTCAAACAAATGATCTTCAGCAGTTCCCTAAAGTCTACTTATTATGAACTCCTTGAAACACCAGTAAAAATGATGACGTTTCTCATCCTTAAGGGTTATTCTTAATTAGGCAATACCAACCACGTCATGCATTGTAAACACTGAGGTCCTGATTCCAGCTGCTGGTTGAAACACCTCTACTCTCTCAGACTGTTCAGCTGGGACTTTCTGTACTGTCTCAGCCTACGTGCAGATATCATGCTTTATAACAAAATATTTTTCACTTCATTTCTCCAAAGATTCTCAAGCCAATTTAGCCTACTCTTATTACTTACGCTTATTTTCTAGTCTCTAACATGTTTTCAGTCTCATTTCCTTTTAATTCCTTTCTCTGACATTTATTCTCAGTAGCTATCATGTCATTGTCATTTGGAAAGTACATTTTTTTTGTGACATGAGAAATAAAATTACATAGTTAAATATGATATTGATTCAGCCTTATGTACCAGCATACATTCACTGCACCAGAGTCCACATGCAATCAGGCTGTTAAATCTCAGCTCCAACTCCACATCAGAAGCTCAAAGTCATGCCTCATGCTTGATTTCTCAGAAGAGAAATTAAGATCTTAATGGACCTTGGAAACTGCAGCATCTTACTTACCCCTCTCATTTTACAAAGGTATGTGTACTCATGGGGGAATGCATGAGAAAAACATCATCTTGGAGACAGCAATGGGATTTGAGCATCATGGTCTTAATGCTATTGCATCTCATCAGCATATGTACAATTGCAGGCATGTGGTTTAGTTCATCCAGTAATTTGTATAAAATATCACGTACAGAGCTGCTCAGACTTGACTCGTGCCTGAGCTACTGAGAAAATGTTAACACATTGGTAAAATCAATGCTTGAAGGTGCTTTGCAACAAATAGTAAAAATCAGGTTTTACACATAATTCCTGTCTTGGCAATAATGAGAAGTGGACATTTACCAATCTCATAATAGAATAACTATAGCCTTAAAATGAATGTTAGGCAAACTTTAGGAATCCAGGTATTTAGCTATGATTTTGCAAACACTTTATGTCTTAAAAAAAAATCTTGAAGTTGCAAACTCAACTAATGAACCACCGAACACTTTTGTTACCAACCAGAATAGAAAAATTATATTCATAACATTTGTCGAAATACAGGAACTTCATCAACCGAATTTCTATTTCAGAATGAAAACAAAAAAAAAACAAACCAAGATAAAAATTAATAAAGAGTGGATAATCATATTCTTTCTGCTAGGTTTGATCAGACTAAAGATCACTTTTTTTCCTCCTAAACTAGATCACCTACCCCCAGGTAGGAAAACTGATCATTTTTATAAGTTGGACTAATTGTTTTGTGTGAAAGATGATAAAGAGCAGTGGCTCAGAATGTTGAGTGGATGAGTAATGAAGAAGGATAATCAATGATTTGGACTGCTGTGTACTATCTACAGTGTGAGGCAATGATCTAACACCTCTAGGTCAAACTGTAGGCTGGCTCCATTATCTTCTTGTTCTTTACTGTAGCAGCAGTTTTCTAATGATTGCACCAGTGTGAATATACTGCCAGTATGGTACCACTTATTGCTAATGACTTGTCAAGTTTTATTTTATAGTTTTGCAAGTTCTAAGAAAATAATTTATTTCATGCAAATTGACCACATGATCCAATATGAGAGTGTTTTAAGCACGAAAAGCTTAAGCTTCACACATCAAAAACTTTCCCTTAGGCCAAAATGTTTGTTCTGAGCAGGTTCCTATCCACTCTGATAAAAGGCTTCTTTAATGTCTCCATGTCTTATTAAATGTCTCTATATTCACTTTGATGGGATTGCAAAGGACAGTAGCTGAATAAATATTTTATTCATTCTTTTGATGAAATATGTTAAAGGAGATAACCTAAGTCAAATTTCTTTTCTTTCCCTTTTTCTCTCCTCTTTAAGTTATAAAGCACAAGTGGTTTTCTGTAGTACAGATGGCTCACAAATAGAACTGAAGAATTGGCTTCAGCAGATCAGACCATTAGGATTAATGGTGTCTGCTATCTTGACTCCAGCAGTGGCCAGTTGGACACATATCCATGATGTAAATGAGAGGAAGGCAGGATGTTTTTAATGCTCCCAGTGGACAACCAGATTAGTCCATGAATCGTGAGAAGTCATTATCCAGATTACTGTTATTATTATTGGACATACATTTATCTGACTGCTTTAAAAATGCAGCAGAGCACTGAATAGTTATTTGCTTCTCATTTCAAATGTAGACTTTACTTTTCTACTATGAGATAAGATGAAAAGGTTCATTTAACTTGCTTTTTTTATTTTTTTTTAAACTTTTATTAGGGTTTGTTTGCTCAAAAAGACGTAATTGCAAACACAAAAATGGGCACACGTTTCTATGCCTAATCTGTCCATACAGTTCCACAACATTTCCATGCATAATCTTTCCATACATTTTTGCTACAGATATCTCTTTCATACATGATATTGCAAACAGTTCTCTAACAACAAATTACATCAGATGACAACTGAAATAGTGAAATGTTTTGGTTTTAATCTCATGGGAATGTTCTCATCAGAAGAAAAAGTGTCACATTAACACATGAGTAGCTTCTTCCACTGCCTGAAAGGCAAGAAATATGCTGCAAGGATGAGTAGAAGGTTTAAAACACTAGATGGTAACATGAATACTTAACTGAAAATAAGCTACAGACCTCAAGCTCTGAGAAACTTCTGTCATTGGTGTTTACTAAATCACTTGAGATGTCTTGAATAAATTAATTCTGACTTGGTTTATTAATATTTTAGATTTTTTATTGCATGGTAAGGAATACAAGACAAAATTTAATTACCTTAATTTTCTCAATCTAGGAAGTGTCTTTCTACATGTATCAAAAATATCATGTCCAGACATTGTGGATAAATTGAATTTTTATGACAACAGCAAATTATATGAGTTTTCTTTCTTCCCTGATCTTTTGAGTTCTATTTGTCAGCAGCAACCTTAATAAATTGTGTCAAACTATATCTTTCTAATTCAAAAGATCGAGATAAAATAAAATATTTCTAAAATTATTATTATCAAACAACTAAACACATTGTAGACAGATGAATATTCCAATTGGATATAGAGAGAAATAATGCCACCCCAGAATGTAACATGTGGAAATACCACTCTTATGACTGTTCACTTCCTCATACCTATATAGCATTTATTTGAACAACAGGAATCCTACAGTCCAACAGCACCAACACTTTGTTACCGTGTTTCTCCGCGGCAGCAAAATGTCTTCAGATAAATCTCATTCTGCTCAGATGTGATGTCATTCTCTAATGATAGTAAAAATAATTGAAATAAAATAAATGTGCTCTTTGCAGAGTCGTTTGTTACAAAAAGTAAATTCAAATCAAATGTTTCATGAATCTTGGAATAAGATATGGATCAACGGAATGAGGTAAGACTGCCAAATATGCTTTTAGAGGACTGAAAACTTCATGAAGGCCAAACATTTTTTCCAGGCTTCCAGTACTGACATGCAAGATGCTAGAAGTTAAAAGTGAGTCTCTCTCTTGCTATCAGTCGTTACTCTCCAGACATTAGACTGTCATAGTGCTGAGGAAGGGTTTCTCTGCTTAGTACATGTGCATGAAAAACTATGAGCAAACCATTTTTCATTAAGAAAGAACAGCTGTGGATCAAGAGGTGAGATTGTGCAACTGTACTGAACAATGCAAATACTCATTTTCAGGAAAGAATGAGCTGAAATGCTGACACCCGTACAGGCATTCTTTCCTAAGGAACATATTGTGACGTAATGGTTTTATGCACACTAGTAATTAAATGGTGCCTGAGAACATTACTGGGCTCTGGAATTCAGACATACATATCCTGCAACATTTTTTTGAATAGTCCCTGACAACTTTGACTTGTGCTAAGCAGCAATGTCTCAAACAATTAATTGGTTCAATTTAGGAGTTAACAAGGGCCAGGGACCACTCCCAATAGACAGCCAGGAGACAACCAACCCATTTCGACCTTGAGGAAGTGTACTGGATGCGGATCACTCTATGACAGAAGAAATCGCATTCAGGGAACAGTTGAATTGAGTTTGATTTACTAATCTAGATGTAGCCCACAAGTCTTAAAAGTGATAACAAAATTATATCAAATGGAAAAAATAGTTTAAACAGTGTGTTAATGACCTATCTGGAACTGAATTTTTGGCAGTGGCAGATGAAATTAATGGATAATAAAATGAGGCTTTTAAGAAAGTATATCGTGGAAGCCAAGATACATTTCAGTTTTTCATTTGCACTCAGGATCTGGGTCTTATTAAATGGATAATTGCTCAACATAAAGTGAAACTCTGATTTTGGATAAGGTTGATGTTACCTAAGAAAAGACTCTGTTACAGTGGTGCAGTGATTACCAGTACCAATGAAATCCTTTAAATTGTCATATTATGGTGCACACTGACTATCAACCAGTTACCTTTATGATGCAAAAGAAAAGAAGAAAAGGGAAAATTACATGGATAATGCCGAATCTATCTATCCATCTATGTTCCACTGTATCTATGCATTTAAGTCCATTAAAAATACCACAGACAATTTTGGAACTCTTCGTAGATCC